AAAATGATGCTAAAATTCACATGAAAACACAAGAGACCTTGAGTAGCTAAAGCAATCATACAACAAAAACAATGCCAGAGATATCACAATATCAGACTCCAAGATGTCTTGGCAGTTACAATCAAAATAGTCTGGTGCTGGCACAAAAATAGACATGTAGACCAATGGAACAGACTAGAAATCTCAGAAATTAACCCATCTGTTTAAAATCAACTAATCTGACAAACGAGTAAAAATCAATCCCTGGAGCAAGGACATTCTCTTCAACAAATGGTGCAGGGAAAACTGGATCTCCACTTGCAGAAGTATGAAGCAATACCCCTACCTTACCAATTCTCATACAAAAATCAATTCAAAATGGATCCAGAATCCAAATCTACTACCTGACACCCTCAAATTACAGAAGATAACATGGGGAAACTCTGCAAGACATTAGCATAGGCAAAGACTTCTTGGAAAAGATCCCAGAAGCACAGGCAATTAAAGCAAAATAGACAAATGGGATTACATTAAGCTAAGAAGATACTGCATTTCAAAAGGAACACTCAACAAAGTGAAGAGGCAACCAACAGAATCGGAAAAAATATTTGCAAACTATCGACTGATAAAAGATTAATAGCCAGAATATATAAAGAGTTCAAGAAACTCACGGGGCCGGCACTGTGGTGCAGCAGGTTAAAGCCCTGGCCTGAAGCGCAGGCATCCCATATGGGCGCCCGTTCTAGTCCTGGCTGCTCCTCTTTTGATCCAGCTCTCTGCTATGGCCTGGGAAAGCAGAACATGGCCCAAGTTCCTGAACCCCTGCACCCGGATGGGAGACCCAGAGGAAGCTCCTGGCTCCTGGATTTGGATTGGCAATTCCAGGCATTGTGGCCATCTGGGGAGTGAACCAGCGGATGGAAAACCTCTCTCTGTCTCTACCTTTCTCTGTAACTCTGTCTTTCAAATAAATAAAATAAATCTTAAAAAAAAAAAAGAAGTTACGTGATATTACCAATTGATGCAGAGAAAGCATTTGACGAAATTCAATATACTTTCATGGTTAAAAAAACAACACTTAACAAACTAAGGATATAAAATATATATGAAAATTTCACAGCTAATATATTTAATGGTGAAAGACTAAAAGCTTTCCCCCAAGACCAGGAACAAGATAAGGATTTCAGCTTTTGTCCCTTCTATTCAACATTCTACTGGAAGTTCCAGCCAGAGAAATTAGTCAAGAGAAAGAAACAAAAGGCATCCAATTGAAAAGGAACAAATAAAGTTACCACAAATGGCATGATCGTTATGGAGAAAATTCTAAAGAAGTCTCATAATACTATTAAAGCCAATAGGTGAATTCACCTACACCGAAGGATATAAGATCAATGCACAAAAGTCAGTTGTATTTCAATATGCTAGAAATTAAAATCTAAAAATGAAATTAATAAAACACTGCCATTTATAATAGTATAAAATACTTAATAAATTTACCCAAGGAGGTTAAACTAATTTAAACATTGCTGAAAAAAATGTAAAAGACCTAAAGAAATAAAAAGACATCCCATATATATGGATTGGGAAACTCAATATTAAGATGGTGATACTGTCAGGAGATTTACAACTTCAATGTAATCCCTATAAAATTCCCAATGTACCATTTTGAAAATACAGAAAATCTGATTATAAAACTTGTGATGCAAGGGATCCAGAATAGCCAAAACAATTTTGAAAAGGAAGAACAAAATTGGAGGACTCACACTTCTCATCTTCAAACTTATTACAAAGATACAGTTACTACAAAAACTTGCTTCTTATATAAGGATTTGCATATAGATAAATGGAATAGAACTGTGTCTGGAAAAAACTTATTCATCCATGGTCAACTGATTTTCAACAAGGGTACCAAGGCAATTCAATGGGCAAATAATGGTCTTTTCATGCACTGGTGCTGGTCCAACTTAGCCACATAAAAAGAATGAGTGTGAACTGTTATATCATATAGAAAAATTAACTCACTATGGAACAAAGACCTAAATGTAAGAGCTAAAACTCTAAGGAAAAAACATAGGGTAAATCTTCATGATCTCAGGATTGCCAATAAGAGTGCAGGTGTTTGGTGCAGTGGTTAAGATGCTACACGGGGTGCCTGAAGCACATATTGAAGTGCCTGGCTTAAGTCCCATCTCAGCTGCATCTGATCCAGCTTCCTGCTAATGTACATCCTGGGAGGCGCAGATGATGGTTTAAGAATTGAGTCCCTGCCACCCACATGGGAGACCTGGATGGAGTTCCAGGCTCCTGGTTTCTGCCTGGCCCAATCCTGGCTGTTACAGACATTTGAGGAGTGAATCAGTGAATGGAAGATCTCTTTGTCTCTCTGCCTCTGTCTCTCTGACCTTCAAATAAATAAATTAAAATTTAAAAAGAATTGGCAATTAAATGTGACACAAAAAAGAAAAGTACCACATGGAAAAAAAATTGGTGTTCATCTCTTTTTAAAAAAACAATTGTTCATCAAAGGACACTGTCAAGAGAGTTAAAAGACAAACTGCAGAATAGGAGAAAATATTTGTAATCATATACCTGATAAGAGCCTACCATCCAGAATATAAAAAAAAAAAAAACTCTTACAACTCAACAACAACCAAAAAACTCAATTAGTAAATGGGCAAAATGCTTAAACAGGTATTTCTGTAATGAAGAGACACAAATGGCTAACAAGCTCATGAAATGATGCTTAATATCATTAGTTACTAAAGAAATGCAAATCAAAATCACACCAAGATACTTCACACTCACTAACATGACCACAATAAAAGAAAAAAAATGAAAAGAAGAAGTGCTGGCCCAGATGTGGAGAAATCAGATTTTCCTGATGGGAATGTCATGTAAAGGAGTGTAGCTGCTGGGGAGGAGCTTGGTGGTTCCTCACAAAGTTACATAAAATTAACGTATGATCACATAATTTCACCTCTAGGCATATCAAGTTGAATACTCTTATCCGAAATGATTGGGGTGAGAAATGTTTTGGATTTCAGAATTTTTTGGATTTCAGAATATTTGCATATACATAGCAGGATATCTTAGAGATGGAATTAAAGTGTGAACACGATATTCATTTATGTTCCTGAATTCATTCTGTACAATATTTTTAGTGTGCCTGTATTTTGACTGCAACCCATCCTATGATGTCCACTTATGGTGTCATAACAGCACATAAACAGTTTGGGATTTGGGAACATTTCACATCTTCAATATTCAGATTGGGCATGCTCAACCTATATTGAAAATAATCACAAACAGGTGTTCAAATAAAAAAATGCTCATAAATGTTTGTAATATAGTATTACTCGTGGCCAGCACTGTGGCATAGCGGATAAAGCTGCCGCCTGCAGTGCTGGCATCCCATATGGGCACCAGTTCTAGTCCCGGCTGTTCCACTTCTGATCCAGCTCTCTGCTATGGCCTGGGAAAGCAGTAGAAGATGGCCCAGGTCCTTGGGCCCCTGCACCTGCGTGGGAGACCTGGAGGAAGCTCCTGGCTCCTGGCTTCAGATCAGCTCAGCTCCAACCATTGCAGCCAATTGGGGAGTAAACCAGCAGATGGAAGACTTTTCTCTCTCTCTGCCTCTCCTTCTCTCTCTGTGTAACTCTGGATTTCAAATAAATAAACAAATCTTTTTAAAAAAATATAGTAGCACTCTTTATAATAGCCAAAAAGTGCAAAAGGCATAAATGTCCATCAAGGGGTAAATGACTAAAGAAACTCTGGTACATTCCTACAATGGAGTACTACTTAGCCGCAAACATCCATGCTACAACATGGATGACCTTCAAGGCATCACACTAATTGAAAGAAGCCAGACACAACGATCACATATTACATGATTCCATTTGTGTGAAATATCCAAAGTAGGCAAATACAGAGACACAAAGCAGATTAGCTATTGTCAGGGGCTGATGGGAGATAGGAATGGTGAATGACTGCTTAATAGATGCTGGGTTTTCATTTGGGAGAACTAAACAAATTCTGGAATAAGATAGTGATTATGGTTGCACAGCATAATGAATGTACACAATGCCTCCTAATTGCATGCTTTAAATGGTTAAAATCATAAAAATTATCTGTGTTTTATCACAACAAAAACAGGTATGTAATTCAATCCTTCCACCAATTCATACTGTCCATCCCAATTCATCTGATGTAGCAGCATTCTACAGAAAATACAATCATAGCCCAAATATAAATCAGTGAGCATTAATCCATCTACTACCAGTCTGTTTCAACTTAGGTCCTAACCTCTTTTGTTGTTGCTGCTGTTATTGACATAATTACCTGAGGGCTGCTTCCCTCCATGGGCTCTTTCAACAACAAAACAGAGGTTTGCTCTAATTGTCCAATCATCTTCATTATAAATTATACTTCTGTTTACTTTTAAATTCTCAAGGTTAATTGTTCTAAAACCTACTTCACCACAAAAGCCCTCTCAAGTTCAATACAACCAATTAAATTAAACATGCATCAGTTTGAGAATGGGAGTGTTATCTGGGCACAATCTACTAATTGGTCAGTTGTTGTTGGATATCATTCGGTTGACACACCTACACATATGAAACACACATATATGTCAACTGATTTTTCATATGAATATGTATCTACCAAATAGTACTGCATGCTGTAACTTTTGAGATTTTGGGATTCAAATGTAAAGAGTGTTACATCAGTAAAAAAAAACCTCTATTTTTATATTCATGAAATAACTGAAAATATCTGTAAACTTATTTTTTCTGAAATGTTACTTTCCATTCCTTATAAATTAAAATTTTGATTATTTGGTTTCTAGAATTGGGTGGAAAATAGAAACAATCTTACAAAATAAAATCCAAGAATGGCAGCTCTCCTTCCACACACACCTCCTCTAGTGTTGGGATAAAGCAGAAGAAAAGAGAATTAAAGAAGAAATTGTGGCTCTGACCTGTGACCTCCCAACCTGTCCCATAAGATGGGGCTAATACCTTCTTCAGTGCCAAGATCTTGTATGATGAAGCCTTCGTTTGTGAGCTGTCAACTGGCTCATCATCTACAGAAATTTCTTTAAATTCATCAGAAAATATGTCAGATCGGATAAGCGATGGGCTGATGCTGGGTTGGCGTGGTGGCAGTGGTGGGACCTGTCAAAAGGGAGGGAAAAATTAAAACCTGTGTGTTATTGGTACTCTTGCTCCTTAATGCTTGAAGGACTAAGAACACAAAATGAAAAAACAGGCCCAGAAAAGAATCTCCTGCCTCCCTGCCTTCACTTCTAGTACACACTCAAAACAAAGACTAACCACCTTGGTTTACCCTCTGCTGCACACTTTTGACAATCCCCAGAGACAGAAATTTCAAATTGCTTGTTTGAGCAAAACTAGAATTCTGGTGTTATTTCCCTACTGGTGATAACTTCAAATCTTGTTTCATTCTGACCTTTGTTTTTTAATCTCGGCCATGTCTTTAGAAGTCTATTTCTTAAAGAAATGAATCTTGGGTTATGCTCTAGGGGTAGCATCCAAACTACAATCCTTGCTTCCATTATTCCAGGGAATGTCGGTACTGGATCTTCACTGTGTTAATTGCCTATTTTAATCATGTCAAGACTGATTATCTAGGATTTTTTAAAAGAAAATCTACAGAACTAATCCTGGTTTCCCAAGGAGATAAAAATGTATTGCTTTGGGTTTGGCGGAGGGATTCAATCAACTAATTTAGTTCACTTCTGTTTGAAGATCATAGTACACTTAACTTTTAGGTATTGTTCCTTACCACGGTCCTTTCCATATGGCTGGGACTCTTGATTTTATCTTTAACAAATACTATCTACAATGTATTACGCCCTATTTCAGAAACTGGGCCTACAACAGGAAAAGAACAAAATTCTTGCTCTCATGGAGCTACCATGCTTGCATCTGTTGTAGACTCTGCTCGGCTCAGGACCCATAGCCTTCAGAGACAGTAGCCGAAGAAAAGGGGCTCTAATGGAGGCTTGCCAAGATTTCGCCATGAAACACTCCTGGTCAGAGTGTCCAGTGTTCCCTGATTACTACCAGGTCCCACTGGGGGATCTTGGCAAGAGGCCAGATCAACCATCCCAAATCCCAGCTCTAATAATAATAACGAGGCAAATGGAAGGTTCACTTGTACTGAGGGTTTACAATGTGCCAGGCAGGGAGTGCTCTCCATAGAGGCATCTCATTAAACCTCATGACAATTCTTTGAGATATTTTGGGATGATGGTTTCCATTTTACAGATAGAGAAAACAAACTTGGAGAGGTGATAGAATTGGCCCTAAATCTCCCAGGGCAGGGCAAGCATTTGAAAAGCTTGCCCAGCTTGACTGCCTCTGTTCTTAACCACTGTACTCTCCTGTCTCTGAACTACAAGGGCCAGGAAGAAGAGGTCCCACGCTGAATGGCAAGTTCAAGAAGTTTAAAAAGCAACAGACAGAACAAATGGTGTGTCTGGTTCCTTAAGGATAGCCACAAGGGCAGGTCTGTTTCTTCAACAATTACATTCAATTGTTTTACATTTTTTAAAATTTTAATGTATTTGAACGGCAGAGGGACAGAAAGAAGAAAGAAAGGAAAGGAGGGAGGAAGGGAGGAGGAGGGGAGAAAGAGAGAGAGAGAATGATTTTATCCACTGGTTCACTTCCCAAATGCCTGCAATGGCAGGGACTGAGCCAGGCCAATGCCAAGAGCTGGGAACTCCATCCAGATCTCTCAGGTGAGTGGCAGGGACCCAAGTACTTGAGCCCTCGCCTGTTGCCTTCCAAGGTGCACATTAGCAGGAAGCTGGATTTGAAATGGCTGAGACTGCAACCCAGGAACTCTGATATGGAATGTGGGCCTTCCAAGCAGTGTTTGATTCAACAACAGGAAAAGGTTAATAACCTGCTGCTGCATATTCTGAACAATTTCTGCTCGAGTAAAAAGAACATAAAATGCACTGCAGAGTAGGCACCCACATTCCTAACACTTCAGAACAGACATCAGGTGAAAATTTGGCAGTGGATAAAACTGGCTCCATCTCAGCATTTCCGACATAACCATGCGCCTGGATTTCCTCTCCCACAGTCTCCTATTTGCTCTAGATGTTAATTAATCCACTAAGGATGCTGCCCCTTCAAGGGACCCAACCACTGGCATTTTCATACTTGCCCCAGCTTCTATGTGGCACTGGGTGTCAGGACCCTTGACTTAGTGCTATCAACTACCCTGCCATTTGGAGTTGTCACCTTGGCACTTCAGGGAAGTTTTCCACCAAAAGTCAACCTGCTTGGGGTCAGCACTGTGGTGTAGTAGGTTAAGTCACTGCTTGCAGCACCAGCCTCCCATATGGGCGCTGGTTCAAGTCCCAGCTGCTCTACTTCCAATCCAGCTCTCTGCTAAAGCCTGGGAAAGCAGCGGAAGATGGCCCAAGGGCTTGGGCCCCTGCACCCATGTGGGAGACCCAGAAGAAGCTCCTGGCTCCTGGCTTCGGATCAGCACAGCTCCGGTCGTTGTGGTCATTTGGGGAGTGAAGCAGCAGATGGAAGATCTCTGTCTGTCTCTCCCTCTCTCTCTCCCCCTGTAACTCTGCCCCTCAAATAAATAAATAAATCTTTAAAAAAAAGTCAATCTGAGTGTTGATGGCTCAGGTCTTATTAACACACTGTACTGTTTGCAGCTGTTTCCCAGGAAAGGTTTAGGGGATCGGGCCAAAGGTGCGAGGTGTGGGACCAAATCAAACATGCAAAGAAATTTGCCTATGAGCTATTGTAGCTTCCATCAAAGGCACAATAATCAGCTATTTTCTCTTCATACTCACTAGCATCTGTTATGTTTTGGCTTTTGGATAATATTCATTCTAACTGGAGTGAAATGATACTTCATTGTAGTTTCATTTGCATTTCCCTGATGGCTAAAGGGAACTGTAAGTCAGTGTTGTTGGGAATGCAAATTAACACAGCCATTATAAAAAAGTCTGGAGGCTCCTTAAAAAACTAAAAATAGATCTACCGTATGACCCAGCTATCCTACTTCTGGGAATATATCCAAAGGAAATGAAGTCAGCTTATCAAAGAGATACCTGTACTCCCATGTTCATAGCAGCCCAATCCACAACAGCAAAGACATGAAATCAACCTAGATATCCATCAACTGATGACTGGATAAAGAAAATGTAGTAAAAATACACGATGGGATATTACTCAGCTAAAAAAAATGGAATCCTGGAATTTGCAACAAAATGGGTGAAACTGCAGGTTATTATGTGAAGTGAAATAGGCCAAACACACAAGACAAAAACCATGTTTTCTCTCATATGTGGAAGTTAATATATATTAATAGATTATAATTTATATATTATAATTTATATATATAATATAAAAATGTGGGGATGGGGTTGGCATTGTGGCTCATTGGGTAAAGCCTCTGTCTGCAGTGCCAGCATCCCATATGGGTGCCTGTTCAAATCCTGGCTGCTCCACTTCCCATCCAGCTCCCTGCTAATGTGCCTGGGAATGCAGCAGAAGATGACCCAAGTGCTTGGGCCCCTGCACCCCTGCACCCACATGGGAGACCTGGAAGAAACTCCTGGCCCCTGGCTTCAGTTTGGTCCAGCCCTGGATATTGTGGCCATTTGGGGAGTGAACCAGCAGATGGAAGGGCTCGCTCTCTCTCTCTCTCTCTCTCTCCAACTCTGCTTTTCAAATAAATGTTTTTTTAAAAAAAAATGCTTAATAATCTCTGAGCACTTTCATTCTTTAATAAGAATAAAAGAGAGAGACTGTCCTATGTACACGCTGCATTTTATGGAGCTAAGGTACAGAGAAGTCCAGGCAAGTACAACGAAGTTGAGCATCTTAGGGACAGGGGCAGTGGATAGACCACGGATTTAGAGGTCAGCACACCTGAGTGAGATATCCAAGTCTACAGCTTACTACCTTGGTGGGCATAAGCAACTTCCTTAACCTTCCCGAGTCTTCATCGAATTCTCACAAGCAACCTCTCAAGGTAGATATTCTTATATCTATTGTAGATGATAAAAAGAGAGGCTCAGAGAGGTTAAGCAACTAGCCCAGGGTCACACAGCCAGGAAATGGCAGAGTGAGATTTCAAGCACAGATTTTTCTGTCCATGCTCTGACCAGTTCCACCCTGTTACCTCTGTGATCCTGGAGCCTGCCACCCAGATTCCACTTTTGGGCATATGTCGAGGCACAGCTCCAAACATAACTCCAGACATGGTTCCCCGGACGCTAGTGCCAGTTCTAGGCAGAGTTCTGTAAACGTAAGATCTCTGTGGAAGAGAAACATAAAAGAACTTAGGAGCTGGTATGCTAGCACATAAACCATGGAATGTCGTTGTCTGGGGTGTGTTCAGAGAGGTGACTATGGTAATACTGGCCAACACAGTGTACCAGGCAATAGGTATGCATGTTATATATTTATTCCCTCATTTACTGCTTATAACAGCCCTGTCGTGTAGGATCAGCTGAGAAGCAAGGCCAAATTTCTCCCTCCTTTTGGGGGTGAGGTAAGAGCAAGGGAAGAGCAGCCTTCCATTATGCACTGAAGCTCACGGGTTCTTACCTGCATCAGTCTGCCTTTCTGGCGCTCCATGGAAGTAAACATCTTACTTGCCGGCCTTTCCGACTGAGGATCCAATAGGAAGATGCTGTCATGAGATATGGCTTTGTTTCCCATGCTGCTCTTGGGCCTGGGGAGAAAGCAATGATCCTGTAAAAGCAGTCTGAGAGCCACAAGAACTGAAGACAGACGTATATCCATACTATGGCCTGCCACATACCCCAGAGGGTATGTGTGCAAATTTCTCCATAGCACTTTCATTTAGATTTGTTTTAAATACCAAAGATCTCACTTAAATGAAAGGCCCTTATTCACCAGGTCACACAGGGGCCCTGTGATGCATCAGGCCCATTTTCAAAGTCATCTTAGGTACCACCCATCCTCCCCTCCCCAAACTACTAAACCCATGTAGAAATTACCTTCTTATGGGGGACAATTATGTGGTAGAGAAGTCTAGGAAAAGTTAGAAATGAAAGGCTAAAGATGCAAAAAGACTCCTGTGGGACACAGTAATGTATTTTATGTTTTAAAACTTTCGAGGCTTATTACACATAAATAAAGAAATAAAAAACAAATTACATATCATGAAAAAGCAGAATCTGCAAGTATTACAAGGTTTGTTGAATATGAACACCAGTGACTATGACACACTCTTATCAACAGAATAAAAAAAACAGCGCATGAACATTTCAACAGATGTAGGACAAACACTTATAAAACCCAGCACCCTCTCATGACAAGTGTACTCAATCTTGATATAGGGACAGCTCTGCCAGACCCATAGCTAATATCATTCTTGATGACAGAGGACAGATGCTTTCCTCCTAAGGGCATAAGACAAAGATGATTGTTCCTGTCACTTCTATTCAACATTGTATTGGAGGGTATAGTCAAGGAAATTAGGCAAGAAAATGAAATAAAATGCATCCGGTTGTGCTCGGGCTTCCCATATACCACACACCAGCTTCCCCCATTAACATCTTATATTACTGCATTTGTCACTATCCATAAACCATACCCAACTTACCCTATTTTTTATATCCAAACTGTCTCTAGGCCTCTAATAGTCAACAACTTGTGTTCACATTATTTTTTATTTTTAGCTCCCACAAATGAGGGAGAACATGTGGCATTTGTCTTTCTGTGTCCGATTAATTGCACTTAATATAATGTCACTTAGCATATATAAAGAACTCTTATTAACTTTTATTAATTCTTAAGGAATTCAACAATAGAAAGACAACCCAATTTAAAGATGAAAAAAGGAGCCGGCACTGCGGCTCACTAGGCTAATCCTCTGCCTGCAGCACCGGCACCCCGGGTTCTAGTGCTGGTTGGGGCGCTGAGTTCTATCCCAGTTGCTCCTCTTCCAGTCCAGCTCTCTGCTGTGGCCCGGGAAGGCAGTGGAGGATGGCCCAGCTGCTTGGGCCCTACACCCGCATGGGAGACCAGGAGAAGTACCTGGCTCCTGGCTTCGGATCGGCATAGTGCGCCGGTCATAGTGGCCATTGGGGAGTGAACCAACAGAAGGAACATCTTTCTCTCTGTCTCTCTCAATGTCTAACTCTGCCTGTCAAAAAAAAAAAAGATGAAAAAAGGATCTGAATAGATAAGATATTTAAAAAAAAAAAAAAAAAGATATAGAGAGGCCGGCGCTGTGGCACAGCGGGTTAACACCCTGGCCTGAAGCACCAGCATCCCATATGGGCGCCGGTTTGAGTCCCAGCTGCTCCTCTTCCAATCCAGCTTCTGTTATGGCCTGGGAAAGCAGTAGAAGATGGCCCACCCATGTGGGAGACCTAGAAGAATCTCCTGACTCCTGGCTTCAGATCAGCGCAGCTCTGGCCGTTGCAGTATCGGGGGAGTGAACCAGCGGATGGAAGACGTTTCTCTCTGTCTTTACCTCTCTCTAACTCTGTCTTTTAAATAAATAAAATAAATCTTTAAAAAAAAGATATAGAAATGGCCAGCTAGCATATATAAAAAACTTATTAATTATTAATAAATTAAATAATAAAAAGACAATCCAATTTAAAAATGAAAAAAGGGGTCTGAATAGTTATCCAAAACAGGTAGAAAAATGGCCAACAAGTACATGGAAGGATCTTCAACATCATGATTCAGCAGGGAAATATAAATCAAAACTGTGATGAGAGGCCATTTCACATCCACGAGAATGGCTAAAATACAAATTTCAGATGATAACAAGTCCTGGCAAAGTTTTGGAGAAATTGGAATCCCATATACTGCTAGTAGGAATGTAAAATGGAACCGCCTCTACGGTGGTTTGTGGACTAGCAAAAGAGGCAGATGTCTTTTTTTTTTTTTTTTTTTTTGACAGGCAGAGTGGACAGTGAGAGAGAGAGAGACAGAGAGAAAGGTCTTCCTTTGCCGTTGGTTCACCCTCCAATGGCCGCCGCAGCCGGCGCACCGCGCTGATCCGATGGCAGGAGCCAGGTACTTCTCCTGGTCTCCCATGGGGTGCAGGGCCCAAGCACTTGGGCCATCCTCCACTGCACTCCCTGGCCACAGCAGAGAGCTGGCCTGGAAGAGGGGCAACCTGGACAGAATCTGGCGCCCCGAACGGGACTAGAACCTGGTGTGCTGGCGCCGCAGGCAGAGGATTAGCCTAGTGAGCCGCGGCACCGGCCAGATGTCTTCTACTTTGCTCTAAATTCCTACCCACTTTTTCTCTATAAAACTCTGCTACTACCCAGGTGGCTCTGGTGGTAAAAGCAACACACTCTGCTTCATTAAAACAGCACTCGAAAACTTATTATGATGATCAAGGTAAACTCTTAATGGGCATACGATATCAAAAACTTTTTGCACCAAATTACATTCTTTCTTTCTTTTATTTATTTATTTATTGAAAGGCAGAGTTACAGAAAGAGGAGGAGGAGGAAGAGAGAAAGAGAGAGAGAGAGAGAATCTTCCATCCACTGGTTCACTCCCCAAATGGCTGCAAGAGCCAGGGTTGGACCAGGCTGAAGCCAGGAGCTGGGAGCCTCCTCCAGATCTCCCACATCAGTGCAGGAGCCCAAGCACTTGGGACATCTTGTGCTGCTTTCCCAGGACATTAGCAGGGAACTGGGTAGGAAATGGAAAAGCTGGGTCTTAAACCGATGCCTATATGGGATGCCAGCATGGCACACAGAGGCTTAACCTGCTATGCCACAACACTGGCCTCAAATTTATTTCTTTTTTTAAGATTTAATTATTTAGTTATTTATTCGAAAGAGAGTTACAAAGGAAAGGAAGAGACAGACAAGGAGAAAGATCTTCCATCTGCTGGTTCACTCCCCAAATTGCTACCATGGCTGAGGCTGGGTCAGGCCTGAGCCAGGAGCTCTCACGTGGGTGGCAGAGGCCCAAGCACTTGGGCCATCTTCCACTGCTTTCCCAGGTGCATTAGCAGGGAGCTGGATCAGAAGTGGAGCAGCTCTGACTCTAACTGGTGGCCACCTGGGATGCCCAAGTCCTAAGTGGTGGCTAAACATGCTGAACCACAATGCTGGCTCCCTTGAATTTATTCTTGAATTCCATTTCCCTGAACTTTTGAAGTACCCTCATATGACTGACTCAGCATCGAGGGAATAATACTTCCAGATATCTCCATATACATACATATGCTCATGATGCACACATATTTTCATTCATATGACCTGCTAACTCAATCAGGCTCAGAACCAACGTAGCCTCTCCAACTACTGTGTATGCTCTGCTTTGTGCAGAGCAACAGAGGAAATCTCAGGCTAACGGTGGGCTTAGAACTCTCTCTCATTTCCATGCTATGTATCAGCCAGAGTGCAGCTGTGGAACTGGCTGTCTAGTGCTAAGCCTTCCCTGATCAAAGGATTTCACTGGCACCCGTTGTGCCTGAATTTGTCAGAAACTGCAGTGCTTGTACACGAACATATCTGTGCTCATTGAGCTGCTGCCCAGAGGCAAAGAGAGAAAAAAAAAAAACCCCAAACTCCAAATAGTGGCTTGGCCTTAATTAAAGGCAATAAAGCACATTACAACAACTACCCATTAAGAAATCAAATGAAGGAATGAGATTTGCATGTTCCATCAGATGCAGCTTAATATAGACTTGGAAGCAGATACTGGTCCCATTAAGCATGCCAAGGAAAGGCTGGCTCTATGTTTTATTATGACTGATTCCATGAATGAAAAAAGTTAATCTCCCTCCTTACCTCCTGAATGACAGTCTCTGGGTTCCTCCCCTAGCACATTAAGCAAGAGATTGAGGTCAGGTGTGATCATCAAGCCCCTTGGTTATATTCTTTTCATTAATTTAGCCTATGTGCAAAGACTACCCCCCTATGTCTCTGTCTCTGTCTTTCAGGTGCACATGCGTGGAAAATCCATCAGAGTAAATGGAGCATTTTGGAGGGGAAGGAACAAGTAAGATGGGGAAGTGGTGGCACTAGGAGATGGTCCTTGTCAATTTCTGGAGACATTGCAGAGTAAATCCGAATGCCACTCCTTCACCCCGGACAGGGCTAGTCTTAGTCTCACTTAAAGCTATAAAGCAATGGTCTATGTTGTTACTTGCGAAGTATGAAATGAGCCCCTCTGTCCAAAAACCATCTCCACCACTAGCGAGGCTATCTGAAATTCCTCATGCTGGATGCACTCATTAAGGTTCTTCTTAAGGAACCATATGTACTGCCAGACCCTTCTATTACAGGAAGTATGCTGGGGGCAGCGGGACATGGCAGCTAACTGTCCCACCACCGCCAAGCATGGCTAGCAGCCATGACAAGCTCTGTGGGGAGTCCAAGATAAGACTGGAGTTTAAGGTCAGGAGAACAGGCCCAAGCGGAACACCATAAGTGGGCGTCTGAGCCAGGGACAGCTAGGGGTACTGGGTGTCCCGATGAAAGAACCCAATAGGATATGGGAATCAGGGCAGCACAGATGAAAATTAGAGCAGAGGAGGTGGTATTGGCTCCTAAACAGTCTTCCCTATCCCTTCCATGAGCAGTTATGGCATTTCCTCCAGTCTCCTGGGGTAGAGGGAGAAAGGGATTTGCCTTGGTTTGTCTGCATGCATGTGTGCGTGCGTGCGTGTCTGTTTATAGCACTAAGGTAACTTCATGATTATGATCTCCCCTGTGTGTGTGTGTGTGTGGTTTATAGCAATAAGGTAATGTTATGATTATGATCTCCCCCTGCCCCCACCGCTAGATGGCTTTACAATCTGAGACTGTAAGCACTGTTTATGAGAGCTGGCTCCCCTTGGCCAGGTCTGTAGTTTGAGGGCTGGACAAGCACAGCAGACCAAGTCTCCTAAATGATGTAGGCTATTGTCACCATATGAAGCAGGCCTCTAGCTCTTCATTAGCAGGAGGCTCCACATCTTGGGCTATTTTAGCTGTGATAAAAAGGGTTTCCCTGGTCTCTATGCACCTTCTTCACCCAGTACTCTTGGGGAATAGGGTGTGCATTTGTCACCCTCCAAGCCACTGAGCTGTGCAGCCCTGACAACACACACGCGTATAGACACAGAGACAAGGCCCTGGATATGGCTGTACTGGCAATGGTTGCAAGCTCAACTCCCACGGCCTAGGGAGCAAGAAAATCCAATCCCAAAGGTCCACTGGTGGTCTGGCTACCAAAGGGGGACCTAGATCTAGGTGTCTGCCCCATGAGCTGTCCCCATCTCCCTCCACTCCATCTGAGCTTACCTAGGCTGAACCTGTTGGCTGCCATGAGCTGGCTTCAGGGAAGAGGTGTTAATATTGTCAGGAATGCTTGTTTTCAGCAACTTTGCTCCCTGGACATCTTCAGAATCTTTTTTCTTCTTCTTGCCAAAAAAGCTCTTGAAGGCTTTAAATTTGGATTTCTTCTTCCCTGGAAGTGAGAAACAGAAGTGAGGGAGAGTGTGATGGAGAAAGGGAAGACCAGAGATGAGACAGGGTCTTTCTTGGTGGGAACTAGGACTGCGATCTCAGGTGCCTGGCAGATCTTAGCCCTGGCCTCTAGGGCCCACTACACCATTCATTTGCTTTGTTCCCCTCCAAAGGACTTTAGTAACCAAGCATCCGAGTTGCTGGTGAAAGCAGAAGGCCAGGCCAAGTCTTGTGATCTTTGGGCAGCCCCTCTTCAGGCCAAACTTAAGTTCAGCTATTAACACATACACCTCTTTCCTTGTCCTAAGAACTTCATTGCCCTGACTTGTGGTAACTAATATACCAAGCACAAAAATGTAATGTATATGAGTGAAACTGCCATTTTGAGATTTGATTATTGTTTATAGCCCTTGTCTATACTCTTGAGGCACAGTGGTTTTTCTACTTACTACTTGCTAAATTCTTTATTTAGTGGAGGGTTAAGCTTGTGATTACAAAATAAACAAAGTATGTCATTGTCCAAATTAAAAGAAAAAATAAGAAAGGAAGGAGGAGGGAGGGTGGGAGTGTTACAGGAGGGAGGGTAGGGTGGAAAGTATCATTTGCTCTTAAATATGTACATATGAAATACATGAAATTGGTTTGCCTTATATAAATAAGAAAAAATTTTAAAGATGTTCACTCGTGTGGCCCAATTATTGAGCCACAGGCTGAAGCCAGGAGCCAGGAGCTTCATCTGGGTCTCCTATGTGGGTGCAGGGGCCCAAGGACTTGAAACATCTTCCACTGTTTTCCCAAATGCATTAACAGGGAGCTGGATCAGAAGTGGAGCAGCTGGGATTTGAACTGGCAGCCATACTGGCTGCAGGCATTGCAGGCAGCAGCTTAACCTACTGCAGCACAATGCCACCCTTGGCCTTCTCTCTTTTCTACACCAAAATGATTTATTTTTTTAAAGATTCATTTTATTTGTTTGAAAGGCAGAATTAGAGAGAGAGAGAGAAAGAGGAAAAGAGAGAGAGAGAGAGAGAGAGATATTCCATCAACTGATTCACTCCCAAAATGGCCGCAATAGCCGGGGCTGGGCCAGGCTGAAGCCAGGAACTAGGAACTTCTTCCAGGTCTCCCATGTGGGTGCAGGGATCCAAGCACTTGGGCCACCTTCCACTCTTGAATATATGGCAACTATATTAGTTTATTTTTTATTACTGTAATGAAATACCTGAGGATTTAAAAACATAAGGATTGGCCAGCACCGCAGCTCAATAGGCTAATCCTCCGCCTAGCGGCGCCGGCACACCGGGTTCTAGTCCCGGTCGGGGCGCTGGATTCTGTCCCGGTTGCCCCTCTTCCAGGCCAGCCCTCTGCTGTGGCCAGGGAGTGCAGTGGAGGATGGCCCAGGTGCTTGGGCCCTGCACCCCATGGGAGACCAGGAAAAGCACCTGGCTCCTGGCTCCTGCCATCGGATCAGCGCGGTGCGCCGGCCGCAGCGCGCCGGCTGCGGCGGCCATTGGAGGGTGAACCAACGGCAAAGGAAGACCTTTCTCTCTGTCTCTCTCTCTCACTGTCCACTCTGCCTGTCAAAAATTAAAAAAATAAAATAAAAAATAAAAACATAAGGATTGTTGCTCCTCTTGCTTTAAAACCTCATAATGACAGGGAGGAAGGCAAAGGCAGAGAAGTTGTGGTGCAAACATACTTCTCATAAAGCAGCACAACCATAGAAAGTAGACAGTCATCATTGGGTTGCTCCATTCATGACATGCTCTATAAACACTGAATAATTAAATAAAAATACTTCTAATAAACTCTTCAGGCTGTAAAACTGAATTTACCTAACAGAATCATTGCATGAGCTGATGAAATTTTGTATTAACACATTTTTATGTCCCTAAGTTTGAGTTTAGAATCATGATAGATGCTAAAAATTAAGTATGCATATGTTCTAATTTTCCCTCAGTTTTCCATTTGCAAGACAGAAACAATGACTTCACACAAGGATTCAAAATACTGTAAGCAATGCGTCTCTTTCAACCATGGTCAATATGAGGAAAAGAATGTTTCCATTCTTCCCTATTGGGTAGCTCTGAGTATGTGCTGTTAGCAGGGAGTTGGGGAGATACCAAGAGATGATAACTACCAAGCATGATGGGTTGGCTGATCTAGGGCAGTGACTTGGAAGCTGGGCACACTTTAGTGAGCAAGCCATTGCCAAATAAATATTGTCAGCTGCCAGAGGTTAAGTCTTTCAGCTTGCTTTCCATTAGGAGTTCTCCCTACAATCAAATATTGGACTCCCAAGTATGGAGACAAGACCTGATCTCAGTGCTGGGAGTGAGACATGTAGCTGGGGACCACTGCTGTGCTATGGTATTTTTGAAATCCTAATGGAATCTGAGATGATTGCTGCTATGGTTTGGATGTGGTTTGAGTGTATCTCCCAAGTATTTACGTACTGGAAACTTGGTCTATAGTTTGGTAATATAAGAGGTGGTGGAACCTTTAAGAGGCAGAGTCTAGTGGGAGGATACTGGGGGCACTGCCCTCAGAAGGATTACGTAGTTCTCTTGGGTCCCTGGTTGCCCTCATGAGAGCAAGTAGTTGTAACACCAAGATCAGCACTTTCCCGTGTGCCGATGTCTCACCACGTGATTGCTCCTTCTTGCATGCCCTATCACAGTTATGATGCTATCTGCCGTAATAGGATGCAGTTGGAGCAGCCTTGCAAAAGCCAATGCCATTCTGTTTGAATTTTGGTCTAAATAAACCTCTTTTCTTTATAAAGTATCCAGCCTCAGGTATTTCATTACAGTAATAAAAATAGACTAATATAGTTGCCATATATTCAAGAGCATAAATTGGCTTTCAAACTTCCCTTTTTAACAGAGTGTCTTTAAAATGCCAGCAGCTGCGCCCTGTATGGGCTGGTTTTCAAAAATTCCCAAATGTGCAAATTGTAGATAGACCTACACAGCAGATATGAGCCAAAATCTACATTTGTACCCAGCAGTGTTTACATAGGTCACCTGTACAATGGTAACGTATGCCACCACAAGGTACAGTGGTTATGATCAGTGAGCTGACTTCTCCAACAACAAAATCATTGATTTCCCTGTCTAAGCCCAAGGACTATGCATTACCAAAACAGCAAGCAGTTTTCAACATCTTCATCCAGTGAGGGCCTACTGTGTGTCACATGCCAGAAAACAACCCTGAGAAGAAATGATAGCTACATCCCATGAAGAAATCATTGCTTCTGGATTGTATATTTAGTTGCCTATCATGCACACAGGCAGCCCATCTGGGCTAAGCTTCATAAGCTTTAAAAATACATCGGATAATGATAACCTTGTTCTCTTGCTTGCTGCTTGGAAAGAAAATGTTTCTTCTCTTCAAACTCCCAACAGCTGCCTTTTGCTTGGGCTAGCACTTAGTAGTGCTAAAAATGTGCCCAAATATTTGGTCTTGAAAATCATTTTAAAAGATTTATTTATTTTTCAGTTATCTGAAAGGCAGAGTGCCATAGAGAGACAGAGAAAGAGAGAGATCTATCATCTGCTGGTTCACTTCCCAAATGGCCACAGCAGCCAAGGCTTGGCTAGGCCAAAGGCAGGAGCTAGGAATTCCAACTGGGTCTCCCACATGGGTGGGTGGCAGAGTCCCAAGTATTTGGGCCATCATCCACTGCTTCCCAGGCACATTAGCAGGAAGCTGGGTCAGAAGCAGAGCACCTGGGACTTGAACCAGCACTCTGATGTGGGATGTTGGCATTGCAAGTGGTGGCTGAACTGCCTGTGCCACAACACTGGCCCCTTAAATCCTCTTGAGAGCACAGAAAAGGCATTTCCTTATCTCCACCCTTATCAAGGTACACTATGTTACCACCTTCTTTTGTAGGTATCTATCCAGCTCACATCCAAAACAGCAGGACAGTTACTTTGATATCTGGATCTGCCTCGGGTGAGAGGCCTTTCATTCATTTATTCATTCATTCATTTATTAAGTATTTTGGAGTGCCTAATCCCTGTCTCGGAGACCCAGTACTAAACCACTGTAACACAGATGATGAAGACCCAAGCCCTGCTCTAGGGGATCCATGACCAGACTCAGCAATTGCCTATCCTCAGTGGAGTCAGGCCTCCAGCCAGCCACAAAAAGGTTCCCATCTCTCTCTGTCATTCTAGATCACCTTCTTTTTTAAAAAAAAAATCATAATTAATCTATTTGAAAGGCAGAGAGAGATACACAGAGAGAGAGAGAGAGAGAGAGAGAGATCTTCCATCTGCTGATTCACTCCCCAAATGGCCACAATGGCCAGGGCTGGGCCAGGCTGAAACCAGGAGCTAGGAGAGGAGCTTCTTCCAGGTATCCTATGTGGGTGCAAGAGCCCAAGTGCTTGGGCCATCTTCTACTGCTTTCCCAGGCACATTAGCCAGGAGCTGGATCGGAAATGGAGCAGCCGGGACTCAAACCAATGCCATATAGGATGCAGGCACTGCAGGCACTGTAGGATTGGTCTACTACACCACAGCACCAGCCCCTAGAACAAGACTTCTGCACCATACATTACTAGAGAAAACTCAGCCAAAAAGTTGGAGAACAATGCAATCAACCATAAATTCAGTTCTGTCTTTAAACTCAATGCCTCACTTTCTGTCTTACAGCTCTTCATTTTTATTATGCATATATGTCAGTTAAGCTTATCATTGCTTAAGGACTTTTTATGTCATTTCTGTTATTCCACTCATGATCACATATCACCCATAGATGGCACCACAATTTAGGCAATGGATACACATCTGTGTAAGTTTTGCAAAAGAGAACTTCTATAAATTGAATCGTACGTTGTTGTGATGTGTTTTGCTTCTATCCCCCCCCACACACACCCATTTACTCCTCAAATTACAAATCCATCTGCTTGTTAAGTCTCGATTATTATCTACAATAAAACTTCAGTTGAATCTGTCAGATCTTTATCTGTTCTGATTGCTTTTTCTAATTAAGCAGAAATACGTTTCCTACCTTTGTATGTAGAACCTGGTAACCATCTCCTTCAAAGAAGATTGCAGGTCCTCAGATAATCTTGACTTTCAGAGTTAGAGAAGACGTTAGAAAACTGAAAAGTAAATATTAATTGTGTCTAATGCTACTAGAAATTTGATAAGGGTGCCGGTGCTGCGGTGTTGTAGTTTAAACCTCCGCCTGCAGTGCCAGCACAGGCATCCCATATGGGCGGCGATTCAAGTCCCAGCTGCTCCACTTCTGATCCAGCTCCCTGCTAATGCACCTATGAAAGCAGTGGAGGATGGCCCAAGTCCTTGGGCCCCTGCACCTGCATGGGAGACCCAGAAGAAGCTCCTGGCTCCTGGTTTCAGAGTGGCACAGCCAATAGGATATCGCCATTTGGGGAGTAGGCCAGAGGATGGAAGTCCTCTCTCTCTGTCTCTCCCTCTCTCTGTCTGTAATTCTGCCTCTCAAATACATAAATAAAACTTTAAAAAGTGAAATGTTATATGAACTTCTTTTCTTGTGACTTGGTTCTTTTTCCTGTGGACTAAACACAGTAGAGAAATCTAGTTTAGTTATCAAGGTTTTACTGGATTACTTACCCTCTTCACTGGACTCCAGCACGTCCAGACTGCCAGAAACTTCATTTACTGATCCAGCCATAATCAGCTACTAAAATATAATACAGAGTGAAAAACAAAAGATCATTATTTGATATCCAGAACATAACACAATCATTCATTCACTCTATCCCTTATCCTTCAATTACATTTTTAAACCATTGAAGAAAAGACATACAAATGGAATTCCCATCAGGGAGAATTATTCTTCCTTAAAAGAGACATTGATGTGAAATGTCCAGAATAGGAAAATACATAGACACAGAGAATGTCTTGCTTGCATTATGTTGGCAGGAATGGGATTTTGGGAGGTGCTGCCGAGTTCCTGGTAAGTTCCTAGCTATCCCCTGCCATTGAGGAAAGCTTGCTAACATTGCGGAGATAAACTATCTCTGATCTTTGGAGATGCCCACGGAAAAGGAACCTATTGTCCAAAACATCAGGTCAGTGTAGACTAATATTGCCCTTGTCAGCAGTAGAAGAAAGGGAAGCAACCAACCACTACAGAGAAAAATGTGAAAGAAGAGATAACAAAGAGGGCATTGTGGCCACATCTGAACCCCTAAGCACTACTAGCACCCTTGAGTGTAGGCTGTCTGAAATTCCCTCCAGCATAGCGAATTCTAAAGCCCCCAAGGACACCAAAACCGGGAGCCACTCAAGCGGCACTTGTGCAACTGCCTTCTTGCCTAAACAAACCAGCCACTATAACAAAACACATCAAACTCCTCTTGATGTCAAATCCTTTTTGGTTACCGCTCATTTCTCTGCATCCCCGTAAAGCAAAACCCAAAAGAGTTATCTATACTTACTATCCTTATGCCCTCACTTCTGTCTCTTCATCTCTTTCCAGTCGCGGTGCCAAACTGCTTCCAAACCACTCCACTGGAACTGCTCTGGAACACCGAGGCGGCTGCATTTAACCTTCCTGCAGCATCTGACACAGCTGAACACTCCCTCTTTTTTGAGTCATTTTATCACTTCACTTGCAGAACACCATACTCCCCTAATTTTCCTCCTACCTCATTGGGTGTTCGTTCTCCGTGTCCTTTGCTGGATCTTTTCCTTGCCCTTGATTTTGAAATGCTGTAGCACAACAGGCTCTGTCCTTGGCCCTCCTCTTTAGCTACAATCATGTCACAGGCCAGTGCCATTAAATACAAATGTTAACGTGAGCACAATGGCAAACCACAGATATCATTTTAAGTTGTCTAGTAGCTACATTTCTAAAAAATAAAAACATGGGGCCGGTGCTGTGGCTGGGCGGGTTAAAGCCCTGGCCTGAAGCGCCAGCATCCTATATGGGCGCCGGTTCTAGTCCCGGCTGCTCCTGTTCCCATCCAGCTCTCTGCTATGGCCTGGGATAGCAGTGGAAGATGGCCCAAGTCCTTGGGCCCCTGCACCTGCGTGGGAGACCTGGAAGAAGCTCCTGGCTCCTGGCTTTGGATCGGCACAGCTCCGGACATTGCGGCCATCTGGGGAGTGAACCAGTGGATGGAAGACCTCTCTCTCTGTCTCTCTCTCTCCTCTCTCTAACACTGTCTTGCAAATAAATAAAAATAAATCTTTTAAAAAATAAAAAATAAAAACAAAATGGAGAAGTTACTTTTACTAATATATTTTATTCAATCCAATATAACCAAAATGCCATTTTTAATATGCAATCACTATACAATTACACTAATGAGGTTTTTTATTTTTAAAAAGATTTATGTATTTTGAAAGTCAGAGTTACAGAGAGGGAGAGACAGAGAGAGATCTTCTATCCACTCGTTTACTCCCCAGACAGCTGCAATGGCCATCTTTGGGCCAGGCAGGAGCCAAGAGCTTCATTTGTGTCTCCCATGTGGGTTCAGGGACCCAAGTACTTGGGCCATCTTCTGCTGCTTTTCCTAGGCCATTAGCAGAGAGCTAGATCAGAAGTGTAGCAGCCAGGACTCAAACTGGTGCCCATATGGGATGCCAGCGCTGCAGGCAGAAGCTTTATCCACTAGGCCACAATGCTAGCCCCTAACGATATGTTGTACATTATTTCTTCATACTAAGTGGCCACATCAGTTGGATCAGCTCCCCTTGCTTAAAGTCCCTCAAACTCAAAATAAAATCCCAGCCCCTTATCACAAGTGAGCCTTATATGATCTGGCCATACCTGCATGCCCCTCTGATCACCAGCCCTGCCTCCCTCCCACTTTGTCCCTCTGCTCCAGCCTCACTGGCCTTCGTAGGAATCCCCATTGCACCAAATCCCTTTCAACTGCAGGACCTTTGCCGTTCCTGGTCCCTCTGCCAGGAGGGCTCTCTCTGCACAGCAGAATCCTTTGCAGCATTCATGCATTCAGTGTGACTTCTCTCATTCCGGCAAAAGCACTCGCAGCCTCTCTCCATACACTGTATTACCATCTTCATAGCATGTGTTACTAGCTGAAATTATATTCTACATTATTCATGTGATTCCTGGTTTCTGCTCTGCCGCCACCACTAGAAAGTAACTTCCACGAAAGCAGGAGTCTTGCCTGTCTTGTTCATCACTGGACTTCCCAGCACCTGGAATGGCCCCTCAGATGGAGGAATCACAGGATTTACTCTTGGATTGGATGTGGCATGGGAGGTGGTAAATAGCAGACCTTCAATAAACAGTTGTTGAACAAACACAGAAGTTGGTAACAGAAGGGGAAGTAATTTAAGAGCCACTCTTGTCATCAGAAGCAGAAGTTGAGGTATGCCAGAAGAAGCCAAGGAAGACTTGTCCTGGAACAGGACACCCCCCCGCCCCCGCCCACCGACGCCGTGTTTCCCAGCTTCACACGGACCTGCCTTTCCTCTGAGCAAGGTGGCCCCAGCCCTGGTTTATTCATCTCTGCAGGACCAAGTTCTTGTGGGCTCCCCGGTCCTTGATGCATGAAGTCCGTTCCTAGGCATCTCAGCCATGCGAACCTATTCATTTGGCTAACCCTGGAATTTCACAAGGAAGCCTTCTCTTACTGCTTAGCCACCACCACCAACAGAATTCTTTCCTTTTACCCTCAGACTGAGCTTTTCAAACAGAGCTTTGCTTCCCAAGTATCTCCTTACGAAACAGGGATGGAAAACCATTTTTCTGCCAAGGCCATTGGGATATTTATAACATCATTAGCGGGCCGTAGAAAATTATTGACTTACAGATACTGATTTACTGAATTTTGAGTCCTTCCTGTGGTTGCGTTGGCAGGTCCAGACCAAATAATTTCATGGGCCTTATACAGCCCATGGGCCAGATGTTCCCCACCCCTGTCATAGGGGCATCTCTGTATTTCTCTCATGTGTCTCATTATAGCTAATATCAATTTAAAATGGATTTGTTCCTTAATTATACTAGGACTCATTAATAGTGGCCTTGGAGCTGCCTCTTCTGGTCTATTATTTATCACAGTCAGCAAAAAATGCTATCACTTCCCTGGGCATCTGAAAAAATCTGGCAATTTTCTCTCCATAATACCAGAGTATGTGGTGGGCATCTTTTGCAGCAGTTAAGATGTTGCTTGGGACAACTACATCCCATATTACAGTGACCGAGTTCAAGTCCAGGCTCTACTTCTGATTGCAACTTCTTCCTAATGTACATCCCTGGGGGTAGCAGGGGACATGTGGTCTCAAGTACTTGGATCCCTAGCACCCACATAAGACAACCTGATTGAGCTCTTGGCTGCTGCCTTCAGCCTGGCCCAGCCCTGGCTGTTGCAGGCATTTGAGAAGTGAACCAATGGATGGAGGATCTATGTTCATCCCTCTTTCTTTCAAAAAAAAGTGAAAAAAAAAAACACAAAGTGTCCTTGAGCCTCCCCTGATAAATACATTCAGCAACTTCCTGCTGCTGGTAAGATAAAAATCAAATTTTTAACAACTAACCCCTTTGCAATTTGGTGCTCTCTGCCCCCTCCAGTCTCACAGCTGCCCACTCCCGCACTCTGGTCTCCCAGAAGCACCAGTCATTTCTGAAACACACGTTCTTTGTGCTCAGCACAGGATGTTCACTTGGTCTGGAACACCACCTCCCTAATCCCCAGGTCCTTGAAATCCTACACTTCAAGACTCAGCTCAAACACAAATAGCCGTGACCTACGCACTCAGCCCTTAACACACGCCTCTGTCATTGCTGATACCACCTGGAGGACAGGGACCACATTTTGACTATCTGTATATCACCTAGCATGATTGCAGCCACACCTAAGGTGTTCACCGCATTACAGACAGATGGACAGATAGATGTAGGAGTTGGTGGGGAGGGGTACTGCAGCTGCAAATAGAACTCAATGGAGACTGTTGGTGGGAATGGAAATTAGTGCAGCCACTGTGGAAAACAGAATGGAAATTTCTTTAAAAACTAGAAAGAGAACTACCATATGATTCAGCAATCCACTACTGGATATATACCCAAAAGATATGAACTCACTATATCAAAGAGATACCTGCTCCACCATGTTTATAGCAGCACTGTTCCCAATAGTCAAAATGTGGACTTGACCAAGGTGCCCATCATCACATCAGACGAATGGATAAAGAAAATGTGGTATATATGCACAATGGAATACCATTCAGCCATTAAAAGGATGAAATGCAGTCATTTGCAGCAAAATGGATGGAACAGGAGGGAGGTCATCATGTTAAGTGAAATTAGCCAGACACAGAAAGACAAATACTGCATGTTCTCCCTCATATGTGAAAGCTGAAATCAAAGAAGAAAACTCAATCTGAACACAGAATGTGGATTACTAGAGGCTGGGAGGAGTGGGAGGCATAAAAAGAGGTTGGATTTAAAACAATTAGGAAAACCTAAATGTGGTTCAATATTGCCGTTGATTTCTCAACAATGTTGCAGTGGATTCGTTTCTCAGAGGAGTTGCATGGTGGGGGCAAGAGGCACGGAGTCACCACACAGACCCTGGGAGTCGGGTGAAAGCGGGCTTGAGGCCAGCAGCCCGCAGACTCGTTTATTTCAGTTGAAACTACATCTTATATAGCCAAGACCAGCCAATCTGGTCAAGGGGCGGTCTATGCCCCAACCAATCACAGCCTGTTGCCAGGCAGTTTCCAAAGCCATCCAATCACAGCCTGTTACCAGGCAGTTTCAAATCCATCCAATCACAGCCTGTTGCCAGGCAGTTTCCAAAGCCATCCAGTCACAGCCTGTTGCCAGGCAGGCTCCGTTGCCAGGTGGGATTAAAAGCCATTCCTGAGTAACTGACGCTCGCTTGCCAGTGGCCACCTTGGCATGGCCTTCTCATTCCACCACAGTTCATTGTGACAAAGATACTAATATGAGATGTTAATAGGGTAAATAGGGTTAGGGATAGATGGAAACTCTTTGTATTACTACCTCACAATTTTTGTTGTGTGAATTTAAAACTATTCCAAAATAAAATGTCAAGAAAAGAAAGAAGCCACCAGGGAAAATGGTCCCCGCTTTTCAACTACGAGGACAATTTGAGACACACATTCAGTGAAGGAGCCCTCTGCGTGAAGTCCCATGAAGAAGCTGGTGAGCCAAGTCAAGGGAGAAGAAAGAGAAGCTTTTATCCAGTAAATGACGAGAGGCCTTCACAATCACCTCCAAGGAACACAGCATCATGTAATAATGGTCAGCAGGGAGTGTGGCCCATCACACAGATAAAGTTTCATTAGCGAGCGAAAATGCTTGCTTGCTTTTCTAGGCCACCCCAGATTTGAGGCCCCAGAGCTGCTTTTTCCTTTTCAGATTGTCTTACTTGAGGGCTGAACAAAGGCCCTGGAGGGAAAAGAGAAAGAACAAGCGAAAATGGCCTGTATTCCTAGGTTGTTGAAATTTTTTAAACCACAGTCTGTGGTTCAAGGATTCAGAGAATTTTGCTTGACAGTTTTGCTGCCTTCCCAGAATGGGGAATGCTAATGGGAAGCAGCTGGCCTCATGGTTTTTTTTTAAACCAATCTACTAGGATGCAATGATTTTCATTGAGTCTGTTGTAGATAAAATTCTAAGACGGTCCCCCAAACTTGTACCTCTTAGTATGCACGCCCTATAAACACCCTCCCCTTAGGAGTGGGTGGGCTTATGCTCCCATGAGCAGATATGTGCACTCCCATGGGAACCTGGATAGAGGAGAAACCATCCTGATGGCCATTTATCGCGACTCTGAGAGCCCTGGATGCATGCCTGTCCAAAGCCGAAACTGCTTCATGATGTTGGTGATG